CCGCAGCCAAAAGGCACTTGAGGAAGAATTTCCTAAAAGCGTTTGTTGTTTTATTTATTTTTGAGTGCCCGCTCGCCGTATTAGTCACTGCTCTCTCTGCTCATGGCTATGGGGAGGGCTGGGAAGGGGGGGGGGGCTGCTTCCTCATTTGAAAACCAACATCCCGTTCATTTGAAGGTAGAAAAAAAGGTTCTCTTTTCTTAATTGCATCCTCTGAAAATTGAGGGATTGTAAGAGCAAAGTATGATGGTCACACGCCAAAAATAGGAAGCTGTGGGATGAAATCTGGGATGGAGCTGGTTCCGTTACTACTGCCAGGGTACCCGCAGAGCCACCAACAGCTCCCACACCCACACCAACATCCAAAAAGCAGCGTTGAACAGTTTGCAGCCAGTTTAACCCCCCGTAGTGCAGGCTGCTCCTCGTTAAACACCACGGGTTGACTCTTCCCTGCTTTTGCAGGAGACCGAGGTGGATCCGCTCCAAAACGGGACGAGGAAACGAAAGGCTGAGAAGATGTGATGTTCCCTGGAGTGGAGCAGCCCCAAACCTCTGCTCCATCAGCCACGGGAGGTGGTTTCCACCAGTCCTGGTGCCGCGCTCGGACAGGCTGAGCTGGGTGAGTGGAGGCTGAACACCAAGCCTTGGGTTGAGTTTGGGGAGGCGAAGGGTCTGGAGCCCGAGGTTCAGAACAACCCAGAGATGAAGAGGCCACAGCTCTCGGAGAAGGGTGAGGGGTTGGTGCCGGTGAGCAAAGGAGGGATGGAAAGAGAAGAGAAACAAGGCAGGTTAATTCAGCAGAAAAACGTGGCTTTGCACTATTTAAACCTACCCGCAGGGAGTGCTCGGTGACGACGTCTTCTCCAAGGAGATGGCATGTTGCGTTTGGAGAGGGTTCTCGAGGAGCTCTGCATGGGCAGGGAGACGCCTTGCGGCGAACGGGCCCTCGGGAGAGTTTGTGTGGGGCTGGGGGCTCCTTCCCAGCACACAGAGGTCTGTAACCCCCCCCGTGGGGACACCCTCGCTCAGGCCACGGGGGTTCCGAGCCGCAGCTCCGTCTCTGGGGGCTCCACGTCAAAAAGGTTGACCAAGCGGGTGCCAGTGGCCGGGAGAACCCGTTGGCCATCGCTGGTGGGCAGCAGGTTGTGTTCATTGCCCAGCGCCCCGGAGTCAACCGAGTCGGTCTCCGCCTGCAAGGTGAGGACGTTCTTGAGGGACGTGGCGGCGCGGGGTCCGCTGTTGGAGTTCCTCATGGAGAGGGAGATGGCACTGGGCCGGGGCTCCCCCGAGCGCCGGCAGCAGGGCAGGTATTTGCCCATGGCCCTCTTGAAGTCCCTCATGAAGAGGGGGTAGATGATGGGGTTCATGGTGCTGTTGCAGTAGCCGAGCCAGGTGAGCACGTCGAAGAAGCCGGCGGGGACGCAGCCGCAGACGGCCTGGGGGGGGACACACAGCAAAGGTGAGCAGTGTGCCCAGGTGGCCAAGAAAGCCAACAGCATCCTGGCCTGTGTCAGGAACAGCGTGGGGAGTAGGGCCCGAGAGGTGATGGTCCCCCTGTACTGGGCACTGGTGAGGCCCCACCTCGAGTACTGTGTCCAGTTTTGGGCCCCCTACCATAAAAAAGACATCGAGGTGCTGGAGCGGGTCCAGAGAAGGGCGACAAAGCTGGTGAGGGGTCTGGAGCATAAGTCTTATGAGGAGAGGCTGAGGGAGCTGGGGGTGTTCAGCCTGGAGAAGAGAGGTGGGGGTCGGTCTCTTCTCCCAAGTCACAGGCGACAGGACGAGAGGAAATGGCCTCAAGTTACGCCAGGGGAGATTCAGGCTGGATATTGGGAAAAATGTTTTCACTGAAAGGGTTCTCAGCCATTGGAATGGGCTGCCCAGGGAGGTGGTTGAGGCCCCATCCCTGGAGGTGTTCAAAAGACGGGTTGATGTAGTGCTGGGAGATAGGGTTTAGTGATGATGCTCCTTGTTTGTTGTGGGGGTGTCTATTTTTGTCAGTTAGGTTGATGGTTGGACAAGATGATCTTTAAGGTCCCTTCCAACCTAGAAGATTCTGTGATTCTGTGATCTCCCACCTCGGCCCCCATCCAGAGGGGTCTCCCAGTCAGGCCAACGTTCTCCTTTCGAAGAAACCCTTCTAAACCCTTTGGGAGGGTTTTTCCTTCCCGTTGCTCCCTGGGGAAATCCCATCTTTGCTCTTCCCAGCGAGACCCGCAGGTGCCTGGGATCCAACCCCACTGGGACTCAAAGTGAAAATCTTTTGAACACCATCAAAAAGCCCCCGGTGGGTGCTTACCTGCGTCACGTTGGTGACGAAGAAGGGGAGCCAGGCCACGAAGAACATGCCCAGGAGGATGCCCAGCGTCAGGCTGGCCTTCAGTGCCTTCTTGCTGTGCTTGTTGGCGAATCTCCTGCTCTCTCCACCGGCCACGGGCTGGCTCGGGGCACAGGGAACCTGCAGCAGGAGAAAGGGTGATGAGCCAGAGCTTCTCCCTGAGGACAGAGCCACCAGCACCAACCTCCCGCCCAAGAAAAGTGGTGTTTGTGGCTGTAAATCCTGCAAAAAGCCCCGCTGTTATTTCCCGTCGTGCTCGGGGCGGCACCGCGGCGCCTGGACCATCCATCAGGCCGAGGAAGCAAGAGAAAGGCTCAACGCTGAGAGGTTTGGGGGTTTGTTTTTTTTGCTGTAAAATCGAGGCTTTACCATTAAGACGCTTCTTTTATAGAAAAAAATCCAACTCGGTGGCTGTTTTGGTGAGGATAAAGCATGCCCTAAAGAGGCTGCTGATTAGAGCAGCAAACTAATTATATTTTTAAAAGCAGGACGCCGAACATTTCAGCCCACAAACACCATAACTAACTCAGTCCTCCATCCGCTCTTGCAATCTAAAATTAAATTATTATCTCAACCCTCCGCCTTAATTAAAGGAGGCCCTGTTGCCACTCAGTTTCCTGCCTGAAAAGAGAAGAAAAACAGGTTACAAAGATGAAACCCAAGGGCTCCTTGGTTGACACCTTGTTTTGGGGTCACTCAGAGCCAATTTGGGGCTCCTGGGAGTTTTTGGGACACTCGCCTCTGCTCAAACACCTGGGGGGGGTTGGTTTTCCACCCGAGCACCCCCCGAGCGGGGCAGCACCGGGGCTGTGCTTGTACAATCCAAAACAAGGGGCAGAAAAATTAAACATTTTATGATTAAAACATGTTTATTCTTTGATTCTCCTTTTGCTTTTGAAGGGCTGGCACATCACGTGCGGCAGAGCTGGCCCGGTCAGAGCCTCCCAGCTCCTCGCTTGAAAGAGAAAGAACAACAAACTAAATCAAGGTATTTAAAGGCAATTAAGCTTGTCTTTTCCCTGTAGGATATGAGGTCAATAAAGCCTATTACGAGGAATTAAAGCTGTTAGATTTAGTGGCAATTACCTTCTCCCGGAGAAACACAAACGAGCGGAGCCACGTTTTGGTTATAAAAACCACAGAGGCTGGTTAAAGCAGCGACGGAGTAAGGAGGTATCTTGTGGTTCCCGTTATAGAGCAGGTAACAAAAATAGAAGCTGGCTCTTCACAACAAGGTGCTCTCCAGAATTTGGGATTTGCTCTTATTTAAGCTCCTTCTCCCCTGTATGGCCTCACGCCCACCACGGCCATGATTTACGAGCGGAAAGTCAGATGAGACTCCAGCCCCCCGGGATGGCGGTGGCCGAGAGGGGGACGAGACCGGGTTTATTTTGTGCTGCTGAGCATTTCTGTGTCTGAGTTTGTTTCTCTGGCTCCCGCTCTTTCTGTGCTCCTGAGCAGCTTAAAAGCTCAGTGTCATCGGCACAAGCCACAGGACACCCCCAAGGACACCATCGGCCCATCACGGAAGTTGCCCAAAATTGCCCTCCCTGTAGGCCGGTTGCCGAAGCCCTTTGCTGGCCCTGAGGCCATCCTGATGGCAGAAAAGCCCCCAGACCATGGGGGTCTTCAAGGAGCAGGGTCACTGTCACCACCTTACCTGTGGTGTGGTCTCGTCGGTGGCGGTGGTGGCCACGTTGGAGGCGAGGGAAGCCACCTGGACCGCTTGCTTGCGGGCTGCCAGGAGGATGCGGCAGTAGGTGAAGGAGATGGCGGCGGACGGGAGGAAGAAAGTCAGGCAGGAGGCCACCAAGGCGTAGGGCAAGCTGACCAGCAGCCGGCACTGGTCCTCCTCCCCCCGGGAGGTGACGTTCGGGGACCGGACCTCAAAGTCCAACTCGTGCCAGCCCATCTTGATGGGCAAGAAGGAGGCCAGAGCAGCCAAGGTCCAAGTGGCCAGGATGAGCCAGAGGGCTCTGCAGGAGGTCATGCGCAGCTTGTATTTGAGGGGGGAGATGATGAGGAGGTACCGGTCCAAGCTGATGACGCAGAGGTTGAGGATGGAGGCGCTGCAGCACATGACGTCGAAGGAGTACCAGAGGGAGCAGAAGTCACCCTGCAGCACCCAACGGCCGTAGAGCTGGTTGAGCATGGCCGGGGGCATGACCACCAGCCCCACCATCAGGTCGGACATGAAGAGGGACACCAGGAAGTAGTTGGAGGTGTTGCGGAGGGAGCGTTGGGTGACGATGAGGAGGATGAGGAGGAAGTTGCCGGCGGTGGTCAGCAGGATGATGAAGCAGAGGAAAGCGGCCACCCAGCTGCTCCCCACCAGCAGCGAGCGCTCCCCCAGCACGCTGGCGTTGGGGGACCCCAAATCACCCTCCATGAGGAGCTGGGGGGCAGGGCTGGCTCTGGAGCTGGGGGGACCTTCTTGGGCCGGGACCTGTGCTAGGTGATCATCGCCAGAGCCAGCGCCGGGGGATGAAGGACCATCTCTCTGTCTCTGCCCTGTGTCCGTCCTCCCTCCTCTCCTCCTCCTCCTCCTCTCCCTCTCTGCCCCCTCTCTCTCCCTCTTCACTGGCCGTCGGGGCAGAGTGACATTCCCGGGAGCCGATCAGCAGTAGGAAGGTTCCCCTGTTCCCCTCCCCGTTACTCACATTTCCTTGTCCCTGCAAATCCCCCCTGAGCTGGGATGTCCCTTGGACACTGCTCCGGGATGCTGGGGATGCTCTGGACACCAGGGAGGCTTGGGATGCTCTGGATGCTGGGATGCCTGAGATGCCAGGGATGCTCTGGATGCTCTGATGCTCTGGATGTGCTGGACCAGGGAATAATTTGGACCCCGGGATGCTCTGGATGCTCCAGATGCTGGGATGCTCTGGACCTCAGAATACTCTGAGTGCTGGGATGCTCTGGACCTCAGGATGCTCCAGAAGACAGGGATGCTCTCGATCCCAGGATACTCCAGATGCTGGGGATGCTGTGAACCCCAGAATACTCCAGGTGAGAGGGATGCGCTTGATCCCAGGATATTCTGGGTGCTGGAATGCTCTGAACTCCAGGATGCTCCAGATGCTGGGATGCTCTGGACCTCAGGATGCTCCAGATGCTCTGGACCCCCGGTGCTTGGCTCTCTGCCCCACAGTGGGGCTTGGTCACCTGCAGAGCTCCGTGCCCTGGGGCAGCAGGTCCCACCGAGCTCCTCCGTGCCCCAGCTCCGCCGCTGCAGCCAGAGCCCCGGGGGAGGCAGAGCAGCCCTGAGGCGAGGATGAGGACGGGGATGCTCCTGGCTCCGCTTCGTCCCCGAGGAGGAGGAAGATGCAACGCGCAGGAGTGTGGGCAGTGTCTCTCCCCGGGCAGAGGTGCGTCCAGCGTGCAGGGGTGCGTGTGTGTGAGTGTGTGTGAGTGTGTGTGTGTGTGTGTGTGCAAGTACCAGCCAGACTTTTACCTGCCGCTCGGTGATGCACAGGGAAAAGGATGCAGAAATGCCGATTCGGAGGAGGTGGGGCTGGGAGGGGGGAGAGGAGGAGATAGAAATGAAATGAAATGCTAATGGAAACAGGGATCTGGTCTAAACTCCACGAAGTGGCAGGCAGAGAGTTCCCTTTTCCTCCTTAAAGAGACAGCCAGCACCACGCTCTGCCTCCCCTCCGCCAGCACCGCAGACCCCGCGTTCCCCTGCCGGATGGCCAGTGGCCCAGGGACCAGCAGGTCCACGGCACCAGGCTCTGTCCTCTGCACCAGTCCATAAAAAGCAAAATTTTGCAAAGCTAAATAAAAAGCAACAAAACCTGCCTGCAACAGCCCCCCGGCGCCTGCTCGGGAAGCAGCCGGAGGCACGGAAAGGACTCACTGGATGATTTTCCAACAACCCCCAGCCAGGGATGGAGGGGGCGAGGAAAGGCAAGGGAAAAAGCTGCACCCCCGCTGGGATGGCCAGGGGTCCTGCCCCTCCGGGACAACCAGGGCTCCTGCCCCTCCACCCCCGGGCTGTTCCACCTGACCTCAGTGCAGCCCAGGTCCCTTCCTTTGCAGGGGCAACCCCGGATGGACCCACGGCAACTGGCCCTTTGGCAAGCGGGAGGCAACACGTCGGAGGAGCCAGCGGGTCCCACTTGGCCTCTTCATCCCTTCCTCTAGTTCAGAAGACGCTTCTGCATCTTGAAGAGCTGTCAGGTATCCCACGCTGCCACCCCTGCGTGTCACAGCCAATCCCTCCGGCTGCTTGGCAGAGACTGATTGTATTTTTTTAATTACCCAGCTGCCTAAAGGGGTGGGTTTTTTTCTTCCAACAAACGGCTGCAAAAATTCCTGCCGAGGTGGGGGGAGACCAGAGCCCAGGGCACCGACTCCAGCACAAACCAGAGTTGTGTGTGCATCTCCACTGTGCCCCTGGCACCTTCCCCTGCGGTCGCAGGGCCAGACCTTGCCCGTTCCTCCCCACGTTGCCACCGAAGCTGTCGTTAACACACTGCCCCGGGGGACGATGCCGCTGCAGATGTGTGGGCGAGCGCCAGCTGTGCACGCTGCACCCCCCCACCGACCCCATCCCCTCCCCAGCCACCCACCCCGGGGACAGAAATGTGTCTTTTTACCAAGATTTACTTTCCTCATCACCTTTGGCTGCTTTTCTCAGTGGTTGAGTGTGCAATTCCCATCTGTTGACCAAGGGACAGGGAGAGGCGAAGGGACACACGGACACAGCCCACGCATCACCTTTTCGACACCTTTGGCTGCTTTTCTTAGTGGTTGAACGTGCAACTCAGGTCTCTTGACCAAGGGACAGGGAAAGGCGAAGGGACACACGGACACAGCCCACGCGCAGCCCGTATTCCCAACGGATCTCCGTGCCACTGGAAAGCTGGGAAAAGACTGGGAAACTGCTGTCATGACTCAAGCTCTCCTGGGAGCTCGTACACAGTGTCTGCCCTCCCCCTGCTTCCCCAGGACCCTCTCCTTGGATGCTCCAGGCCAGCCCTCCCCGGCCACCTCTGCGTCACTGTGTCCCTGGCAGGCGTCCCAGGGCAGAGCACACACACACACACACACTCACACACACACACACACACGCGAGGCTCTGATCACAGCAGGAGGTTTCTTTAGAAAAGGGCTCGTACCAGGAAACCCTCACTTCCTTGTCCCATCTGTGCTGGGAACAAGCAAGAAAACCCACCCCGAGCCTCCCCAGCCGGGATGAAGGAGCGCAGCAGCAGCACAGATTTATCCCAGCTGGGTCCCCGCCAGCGCTCAGTGAGGAAATCGTGCTGCAGCGAAAAGCCCTTTTTCCTTCTCGGCCCCGCTGCACCCCAACCTCAGCAGCATCTCAGTTTATCATAGAATCATAGAATCATTGAGGTTGGAAGAGACCCTTGGGATCATCGAGTCCAACCATCTCCCCTACTCTACAAAGTCCTCCCCTACACCATGTCCCTCAGCACTGCATCTAAACGGCCCTTAAACACAGCCAGGGATGGGGACTCCACCCCCTCCCTGGGCAGCCTGTTCCAATGCCCGACCACTTTTTCAGTGAAAAATTCCTTCCTAATGTTCAATCTAAACCTACCCTGTTATCTCCAGAGCTTTTTGTTCAGAGAAGGAGGTTGGCTGAGGAGCGTGTCCTCCCCAACTAGGTACGTGGGAGGTTCTGTACGCTGGGTTTGGATGGGTTCGCTGGGGAAGTGGATCTGAATCGATCGAAGCGAACTGTGTTTTTCAAAACCTGCCTTAAAATGAGGTTCCAAATCCTACCGTTGTCCCTGCAAAAGCTTCTCTGCTCCGGCAGCTCTGCTGGCCTGTCTGTGCTCCCTGCCCTGCGCTGCGTTTCTGGACACATCTGCAGGGGATCATGGTTTCCACCAGCTCTGCTCTCCAGTATCACACTAGCAGGGAAAGCAAAACCAGGTTGTCAACAGCCAAATGTCAACATGGCAAAAAAAAAAGAAAAAAAAAAAAAGGGCTGGTGAGCCAGAATGAGTAAAATTGGGAGACTGAGACTTTGGGGGGGGACATCCAGGGGATTCAGGGCTTAATGCAGCAGCCTCCAGTACTGCAACTACTCTTGGGATCTCATTCCTTCCTTAAATTGGGAGAGCCAGATGTAGGATGGAGCTACCTTTGAAAGATTTGTGTTTTCAGCTGCAAAACAGGCCTCCACTGGAGTCAGGTGGTGTCCAAAAGAGGTGGAGACGTCCCGCTCCAAACACCTTGACCGGCAGCTCCTGGAGTTTATAGGAACTGTCCCCCTGCTAAATCCAGCTCCTCTTTTCACTGTACGCCAGTAAAAGGGCCACATGGTGGTGGTTGGGGACAGAATGGGTTTCTCCACCTTTTCCTGCCTCCTGGTTCTCCTGAGAAGCTCCTGTCCTTGGGAAGACACCCCAAAGCCTAAAAAAAATATCTTAGTACACAGGACACCCCCACCCCTTCCTTTTCACCTCCTCCCTTGTGGCAATTGCTGCCTTAAGGCAAACCCTCTCCTGCTTCACCACCCGGAGAGCTGCTCCCCAAACCTGTGCAGAGCCCCCAGGACTGCAGGGCACGACCTCCTGTCCCTCCAGGAGCAGACAGGACCTTCCTTGAGGTTCTGATCAGATGGGACCTTCCCTGGGGTTCTGATCGTTTCGTTGGGTGGCCGGGCATCAGGGGGACCGGAGGTTCTCAAGGGCACGCTCTGTCCTGCCCGGGGAAGGCCTGATCCAAACACCCTTGGAAATAGCCCCTTTGGGTCCAGCCAAGGCGCTTGGGTCCCCTCCTCACCCATGAAGGGATGTCCATGTCCATGTCCAAGTTCTCCTTCCCTCCTCTCCAGAGGCACTCCTGGAGGCCACCAACATCTGGATGCCACCAAACGCGCCGGATCAAGAGTGTCACCTAGTGGCAACAGAGCTGATCAAGGTCTGCACCAACCCCGCCAAGACCCCACGCACTTCCCACACAAGTGGGACCCGGCAGCCCTTCAAACCCTCCGGGCTGCAGGAACCAAGAGAGCAACCACAGCTGATGCGCAGCCGCCCCGCGGCCACCTGCAGCCCAGATGCTGCGAATCTGGGGTGGGTTTGCCTTTCAGCATCTCTCCCTCCTCCTCCAAAATTGAAACGCAGCAGAAAGTCAAAAGGAACCACGGATCTCCCATGCCCTGGGACGGGGTCCTGTCCTCTCCCCCCGTCAGCACTGAGGAGCCTACTGCCAAAAACCAGACAGGCATCAGAGCACTGAGAAATGGAAGTCAGGACTAATTTATTTAAGGAGAAAAAAAAAAAAAACAAAAACCAAAAAAAAAAAAAAACCACAACCAAACTTTGTAAAAAGGAGGGGGAGGCATCGATTACAAGCTCTGGAAGCTCTTGTCAGGACAGCGCCAAAGAAATCAGCTTTATACAAGGGAGAGAAAGGGGTGGCAGAGGGGACCCAGGGCTGTCCCCACCCCCCGAGCCCCCTCCTACCCTGCGAAGGTCCGTGGGCATCCTGGCACTCGTCCCCCTTCTCCCTCCACCACCAGTAAAGTGCAGCAGGGAGAGGGAGGAGAGGGGCTGGCTCCCACCCAGGCCACCCCAACCTGCTTTTTGCCTTCCCCTGGGGGCCACCAAAGGCGAAGCCCGTGGCATCATCCGGCTCCCTCATCCCCAGGGAGCTCAGTGGTGGTGGCCCCAGGGACCAGCGAGGTTTAAGGGCACTTGCCAACAGGGTTCCCAGCAGCCCCACAGGCACATCCTGGGGGGAAAACACTCCCCAGGAGCCAACGAAGACGAGGGGGTTGGGGCTGAGTTAAGATCCTGCGGGTGGCAGGAGGAACAGCACGTCCCCACGGAGCCCACCTCTCCTCCAGCAGGCAGGGCAGATAGGAAGAAGAAGGGATGCCCCCAGTCCTGCACACCCCAGGAGAGATGTGCACCTCCCCTGGGACTGTGGAGAGGCTGCGTCCCCTCTTCCTCCACCCCAGGTACGAGCTGTTTAGAAGAGAAAAACCCAGAAGGACTCAGCAAGTGCCCCTCAGCAGGGTCAGGACAGCCCCTGGGGAGCCCAGCTCAGCTCCTGCTCGTGGCCAAAACCCCCTCATCCAGGTTCCTGCCCCTCTCAATATATTATTACCATTATGTGCAAGTAGTTTTGCATCAGAAAAAAACCCCCGAGCCCTCCTCTCTCGCCCTGCAGCTCCAGCCCCACGTCCACCCCTCAGCCCCTCTTGTGCCTCTAAACCTTCCTCCGGGCCCCGGGGTGTCGTGGAGAGCAAAGCGTGAGGGTAGTAGCTATTAGACAGCAAAGACTCCACCACCCCCCTCCCTCCCCAAACCCCGGCCCTCTCCCTCACACACACACCCCCTGCCCGCCCCACCGGCTGCCAGGACAGTCCCCAAGGGCCAGGTCACTCCTCGCCCTCCTCCTCGTGGTGGTGGTGGCTGGAGGAGGGAGGTTCTTCCACCTCCTGTTGGTGGTGGGCATAGTGGTGGGGGCTGGGACCTTCAGCGGGCATGTTCTCCTCCGCGTTCAGGTAGACGTTGAAGAGGGCTCCCTCGTGGCTCGGCTCCTTCCCACAAGCCTGGCAGCTGCAGTGAAGTATCTTCTCCACCAGTTTGTCAACCCTGGGGATGTCGTCGTTGCCTGGACAGTCCAGTGTCACCTGGGGAGAAGGATGAGGATGCAGTGAGTGAGAACGGAGGATCAATCCTCAGCCTGACCTGCGGTTTTGGGGTATTTTAAGCCAGAATGGATGGCTTGCTGCCCGTACAGACAAACCTCCATGGTCACTCTGCAAGGCAAGAGTTCCCTGGGAATGTCTCACAAGGTGACAAGCTGCAGAGACCCGGGGAAGACGTGGGACACTGCTCCCAGGCTCTACTGGCATGGAAATATCGGTGGTAACACCACAGGCCACCCACAAGACACGCTGCTGAGCATCTTGGAGAGATCCACCCAAATGTGTGAGCTGAAAGCAAAGCCCAGAGCAGAAACCAGCTGCCTGGTGCCCGGGCTCGCCCCACAGGCAGGGTCTGTGGTGGATCAGTGGTGGCACGGAGCTGTGAGGGCTGGGGGTGAGGGGCAGATGGGCTGTGGGAAGAGCTTCTGGCCATGGAAGAAGGGAAAAACTCCCAAGTGGGAGGAGGCGACAAAGGGAGTGCTGGAGAAAACAGGCACAGGGGATGAATAATGCAGGGACTGACGGGGGATGGTTCTGCAAAGAGCCATAAATGCATCATTCATCACAGCAGTCACGTTGCTTCCAGCAGCCCCTTCCACCCAGGCATCTCAAGGCAGGGTGAAGTCACCTGAGAGACACCCTGGAAGGAAACCATGAGTGGGAAAACCTGAGGGAAGGAGAAGGACTTGCCCTGAAGCGGTGGCAGAGCAGAGCTGAGAGCTCCTGAGCGAGGACCCCCGGGGAGAACCGAGGAGAGGACAGGGGTACTCACGATTTCCCACATGGACTGGGCGGGCATGCAGGAGTCGCAGTGAACCAGGGACTCTGTGGACTGAGGGAAGGTGTTGGGGACGCTGTAGCTGAAACACTGTCCCAGGCAGGCCCTGCAGAGACAACAGGAGGGACGAGGGCTCAGGGGAGCTCCCTGCTATTCCCAACCAACAAAGGCAGAAGGAGGCTTGACCTTCCGCTGAGACAGACAGAAGGTGGCCGGGCAGAGGTGGGACATTGTGCCTGGCTTCTCTTGCAAGTGCACTCTGGTGCTCTATAAATGGAGACCAGCTGCATCCAGCTCTGCATCGAGGGTGGTGCCCAGTGACAGGACAAGAGGGAACGGGCACAAGCTTGAACATGGGAAGTTCCATCTAAACATGAGGAGGAACTTCTTTCCTGTGAAGGTGGCAGAGCCCTGGCAGAGGCTGCCCAGAGAGGTGGTGGAGTCTCCTTCTCTGGAGACATTCCAAACCCACCAGGACACATTCCTGTGGGACCTGCTCTGGGTGGCCCTGCTCTGGCAGGGGGTTGGACTAGAAGATCTCCAGAGGTCCCTTCCAACCCTGTATCACTCTGTGATTCTGTGGATCCCTACCTGTTTTGGATGGACTTGGACTCGCAGCCGCTGTGCCCCACGATCTGGGTGATGTTCTTTGCCTCACACCAAGCGCTCTTGTCCGGGAAGAGGGCGAGCTTGTTTATGGGGGGCGGTGCGGCCAGGAGCAGCGCTGGGAAGAGGGCACCAACCACAAACCATAACATCATGGCCAGCTCTGCCACAATCCTACAACTGGAGACAGGGAGCAAAGTGTTAGAGGGAGAGAAAACAGGCAAGACGGCTCATTTCTCCAGCCCCATGGCGGTTCTTGCCTGCGACAAGCACAGAGTGTGGGTACCCACACCATCATTTCTGCCCCTCTGCTCTGCTCTGGGGAGATCCCACCAGGAGCACTGCATCCAGCTCTGGAGTCCTCAGCACAGGAAGGACAGGGAGCTGTTGGAGTGGGGCCAGAGGAAGCCATGGAGATGCCCCAAGGGCTGGAGACCCTCTGCCCTGAGGACAGGCTGAGAGAGTTGGGGGGGTTCAGCCTGGAGAAGAGAAGGCTCTGGGGAGACCTTAGAGTCCCTTCCAGTCCCTCAAGGGGCTCCAGGAAAGCTGGGGAGGGACTCTTGATGAGGGAGGGGAGCAATAGGAGGAGGGGGAAGGGTTTGACACTGAAAGAGGGGAGATGGAGCTGAGATGTGGGGAAGAACTTGTTTGGTGTGAGGGTGGTGAGAGCCTGGCCCAGGTTGCCCAGAGAAGCTGTGGCTGCCCCATCCCTGGAGGGGTTCAAGGCCAGGTTGGAGGGGGCTTGGAGCGACCTGGTGTGGTGGGAGGTGTCCCTGCCCAGGGCAGGGGGTGGCACGGGATGGGCTTTAAGGTCCCTTCCAACCCAAACCATTCTGTGATTCTATGATCTCCCTCCATGGCCAGGGAGGCTCCCCAAAACACAGCACAGGGAGTGGGATCTGCCTCTTCCCTGTTCACCACAAGCTCTGGGGCAGGCAGACACCTGCGTTACTTCTCCCGAGTTGGTTTTTTTCATCATTTCCCACCCAAAGCCGGGCTGGGAGAAGTTTGCAAAACAAAAGTATCACTGCCACGGGCCCAGCCAGGCTGGAGGAGCTGCGGACCGCAGAAATGTTTTTATTTGAGGAAGGAACACGCTTCCCCACTTCCTTTTCTCCCACCTTAAAAGCCAAAGCTGGCCTTGGCGCAAGCTTTCCCAGAAAAAAAAGGGAAGGAAAACCCTTCTCCTCCTAAAATCCTGCAGCAGGTGTCGCTGCAAGGCAGCAGCAAGCAGGGAGCCCTTGGAAACCTCAACCCAGAGGCTAGAAACCCACAGAAAAGCCCAATACTGTATTTATTTTTATAGAGCCGCTCAAATTCAGCACACGGTTACTCCGAGGACAGGAACTCGGTCTGCAGACAAGGGGGGGGGGCTTTTAATAGCACGAAGCTCCCTCGCAGAGGTGGTCGGCAGAGAAGGTCACTGGCCACCCCCGGAGAAATCCCAGGCTGGGTCTCCTCGCAGGGCAGCCAAGGTGCCTGCACTAACACTCCCAATCACCAGGGAAAGGCAGATGGAAAAGCATCATAGAAACAGGGAAATTTTTTCCTTTGTGGGGTTTGGATGGAGTCACAGGGAAAAGGCAGACATTTACACTTTCTAAAATATTTGTTAGAACCCTGTTATTTGTTATTTCCTTCTATTTATTTATCCGGACGGAGATCCAAAGCCCACACTGGAAAGATTCCTGTTGATTCCCAGGGCTCCTGGGCCCAGCCCTTTAACACTTGCAGGGAAGGAGAGGAAAAATGCCTTGTTTATCAGACTGTGTGGGAGGCAGCTCCGTGCTGGGGACTCCCAGCCGGGTGTTCCCCCGGTCACTCTTCACAGCCTTCACCTCTGCTGGAGGACCACCACCATCTACCTCATCGAGATGGGCTCCTAAGCACCTCTCACAGCTCCAGCTCAGATATTTTGAGGTCATTATGGGGCAGGGGGTTTTGCCCTGTTACCCCTCCACCACGCCCAACCTCCTGGATCTGAATTCAGAGAGATGCTTCGCCATCCTCCATAACAAGGAAGCCAGAAAAGGGCATCCTCATTCCCAGGATCTCTGGAGGAATCAGGAGGGCTCTCTGCTAAATTTTCTTATTTCCTGGTGATACAGGAACCACGATCCAGGTACAACACACCAACACCTTTATAACCCAGGCTCCCTAATCCTCCCAGCACCGGTTCCTGTGAATCCCACGGGCCCCCAGTGAGAACATCTGCACAAAGCAGGGTTTGCAGGTCTTGGTTTGGGATAAGCAGAGGGGTTTACCCCTGAACTTGCACTGTCATTAACGAGAGCGATGCGGTTAAATACATTTGTCCTCAAGACAACTCTCAGGGCTTACTTCTGCTCCCTGAATACTTTTTTTTTTTCCATTTCAGCAGGGGAATTCTGCAATTCCTGCTAGGAAGAACACGGCTAAGCTGCACACACACACACACACACAAAAACACAGTTCACTTGGTTTTCTGAGCCGAGCATCCCTCATTCCTCAGATGCCAGCGGCTCCGTGCTGAGGAATCCCGCTCCCAAAGGCAAGTCCGAGATCAGAGCTGGGATGTGACCCAAACAGCAATCCCAACCCCCCGGGGAACAGCCGAAATTCCTCCGGAGTCAGCACACAAGTTCACTTCCACATGCCCGATTAGAGAGCAATTTCCTTCTTTCCAATGAAAGGTGGTGGCTGGTTTTTTTTCCCCAGGTTTCTATCTATCTCTACCCAGCGGCAAAGAGGCAAACATTTCTGTCTGTGCTGACAGCCCTGCTTCCCCAGGACCTTTTTTTTTGTTCCTGGAGGGAGTTGTTCAACAGAAAGGTGTTTCTGCAGCACCGGCCAGAGCAGACACATTGCCAGAGGCATGAAGAAGCATCTCTGAGCATCTGGGCTCCTGTCTCACTCTGATACCGAGAAGAAGATGAGTGAGGTTGTGCTCTGCTAAAGCAGAGGACCTGGTCTGGCTTCAGAAAAGCACTTAAACATATGCCTAAGCCCTCTCCTTTCCTGAGGAGGGATGTTTTTGTAACCAGGGACCCCAGCGGAACGGCCATGGGTCTGGTTTGTAGAGGGGCAGTCGTGGAGAAGGAGGAACTGGGTATTACCTACAGACCTGGAGCAATGGCAATTTCACCCCATTCTTCAAGACACCCCGGTGCTGAGCATCGCTCCCCTCCAACGGGCCACGTCCACATGGTGTTTGCCTCCTCCCAAGAGTGCCCTGGAACCCGCAGGGCCACATTGCTAACGAGTAACAAGGTTTATGCCAGTGCCTAGGAAAAATATCTGATGCAGCTGAGTTTGGGAGGGAGCTGGGGCCGGAAACAGCCTGTTCACCACGGCAGCGTGTTCACTGGCACAGTTCAAACCAGTCATGCGAACCGAGCTGCCACTAAACCCATTCATCTGACAGCAGCCACAGGGTCGGAGACAAAAGCACCGTGTTCCTTGCCCCCCCCTCATATCCCCCCCCACCTCCAGCCTCCCCAGCTGGGAAGGGAAGGGAAAAAGGAAGACAAGGCACCCGAGCAGGTTTGCAAACTCCCGATTAAATAAAGGGCATTGAGCACATTCCTCCCTGACAAGCTAAATTACACGTTGCAGCCCCTGAAGAAACAAGTGTGTGCTCCCCAGCGCTGACCCCGGCCCTGGGCTGCCGGCGGGAGCAAGCACTTCCCCACACACAGGGGCTTCTTTCTCTTCTAAGCACCAGGGGCACATTTTTTTTAATTTTTTTTTTTTAATTTTTTTCCCTGCTAGTCAAAGCTTTTCAAGCAGAAAGTTCAGCTCAGTTCCAGCAGAGCCATCAGCCCGTGAGGGTCTCTCCCCCTCTCCCTCTGCAGGGCAGCTTCCTCCACCACCCCTTGGACACGAATTTGAGAAATCAAATGACTCAGCCCTTGAGCCTGGGCACATCTCAGACTCCGGAGACAAACAACTTCTCACCGCCATGCACAGCTGCAGCCTTGTGGTGAGCGGCCCCGCAGCCCTTTTCCAGCCTGTCCTCAGGACTGAGGAGCTAAGGGACAAAATGTCCAAGGTTGATGGGTCTCAGCTGTACCAGCTCAGCATCCCCTGGAGGCCCAGGGAGCCCAGCAGGAACCCTTTGTGAGAGCTGAGCCTCCCACGAGCCTGGTGGTGGCACGCTCAGATGTTTTGTGTCATCTAGAAGAGCTCTTTCCTCCCATCCCAGGGACTCTGAGGAGTCCCACAAGCCTGGTGGTGGCACGCTCAGATGTTTCATGTCACCTAGAAGAGCTCTTTCCTCCCATCCCAACAGTCCTGGGGACTCTGAGGAGTCCCACAAGCAGGACAGTCCCCGCCAACGCCTGGAAGCAGCTGGGAAAATCTACAGCCTTAACATGGGCTGGAGGACAACCACGGGAATTACCTCGGAGGCCACATTCCCACCATCCAGCCCACAGCTGTTCCTGGCCATTTGGAAACCAAACACTTCTGGAGGAAAATAAAATAAAAAAAAAAAAAAAAAGATCTAAT